AATGCATCATAATTTGGAGGATTCTACAGTACCCATTGTAATCCTTATTTTTTCTCTTAAGTTGAGAATGGAGAAAACAAGAAAAGCTGTTTAGAGGTCACTAATGGAAAACAAAACTACATTTTTTTGAATGAATAGAGCTAATAATATCCCTCTGTAAATGCARCTGGTCCTTATCTTAAGAATTGCACAGAGGTCCACTGAGTTAGTTGGCTTCTCTTTGATTTAGGGATAGGGCATACGATTCAGCTAAACTCTCAGACTACTCATCTAGGCTTTTGTCCTTTTGAACAATAAAGTTTCGTACATTGCCGTAATCCTGAGTGATATATATAGAGAGATTCGATAATAAATGTTACAGTTTGTCTTCTCCACTTTCACAGATACAACCTCCTTTTTCTGCCTTACCTCCCATCAGCTAATTTAGATGCATTAACTGCAGGGTTGTTGGGAAAAGTGAAGAGGACTAAAAATGAAACTCAGATTTTGAGGCTGTAGACATTAATGAATAGATCATTATATTCTCTTGGCCAGTAGAAGGGCTAACCACGGAGCAGAAGGCAAAGGAAAGCTCTCATTCTACCTGGGAACTTGACCTGTCTTCAAGCCTGAGCCCTGAAAGACACCCTGACTCCAATCGGCAAATCATTAAAGCACATTTCTCTTGGGAATGTATGCATGCTTCAAGCTAAGCAATGTTAATTACTTTGCTGCATTGGATAATGTGGGGGAAGCGAAGGGAGAACTGCTTCTAATTCCTAAATTAATCATGACACATGGTATTTCCGAGATTGTTGTAGTAAATCTCTCCACCAGTGGATGTCACTGTGAGCTCCCGGGCAGAGCAGCTGAATGATTCTGCAGCTGAATCCTTGCAGAAGAATCATAGGAAAAAAWATATATATATGTTAGTATTTTAAACGGCAATTCTCCTGACATAATCTGAAAGATAAGAATATCCTGCTTTCGGAGAGATCCTAAAAAAAATTTTAAGAAGAGAAAATAAATAAATAAATAAATAAATAAATAAATATGATAATTGAGCTTGATTCTTTTTCAGTAGTTTATCATGTATCTCCATTTTATTTTCTAACGAGAAAAAGTGAAATAAAAATAACAAATGCACAGTTAAGCAGTGATAAATATTGCTGTGTCCATAAAATTTCTAGTTGTGTTGTTACAGGCAGGAGAGCTGATAAATTGGGAAATCCCTGAAGCATCATTTAGTACCCAGCACTGAAAAATTTATTTATGTAGATAAATAACACTCCTTTAATGCAGCAGAACTGTTGGAGTGAAGTCTGTATGGTTTTGTGTTTCTAATGTGAGCATTTCAGAAGCRTAACTACCAGTTTATGCAAATAGGTCCCTAACTCATCAGTTTTACCTACCTTCTTATTGATATCTATCTTCATTGAAGCCATGTACTGAGTACACTTCATTAAGGCTGACAAGCCAAAGGCTGCTGCTTCTCCCTGGGAATTGCCATCTTCTTTACAATGCAAAAGCCATTAAATGAGCCTTACACAGTAGATCAACTCTTTCTTGCTTGTTCTCTCTCCTTCCAGGTATCTATCTATCTATCTATCTATCTATCTATCTATTTATTTATTTATGTTTGTTTTACTCTATCCTTCTTTGAGAGACATGGAAAGATTCCTTGCAATAAAAACTTCCATCATTACCCTTTTCTAGAGGTATATTTGCCATAYATTTCCCAGGATCTGAACTCCACARTAAGATTTAATCATGACCTTGTGGTTAAAGCTGTATATATGTTTTTTGAAATACATTTCAAGGAAATAGCATCTCTATGTCACCTCTAAACATCCTTTAATCTTCTTCTTTACAACAATTTGCAATGCATCTGTCATATGGTGATATTTAAATGTAAAACCAGTGTTGCAAAAAATATATCACACTTCTCCGTACACAACACCCTGGGTAGAGCTGCTGACCGAGGGGGATCTTACAAACCKGATGTTTGTTTGAGATTTCCTAGAGCCTTTCACAAAGGTTTCTTGCTAGACTGCTTGCTCTGTGGTCACATAAGAGAGAGAATAGCCTGACTCATCTTTAAGTCCAGTTCAATCTTTTTGCTGCACAGAGAAGGGTGCTGCACATGAGAGGTTGTTTAAAAATAAACAAACAAACGAACAAAAGCTGCTGTGATTTGTTGTGAAGTCCTCCTGGTTCATACATACTTATATCTTGCACAAGGCAAGTCCTTAAAAAATCCACTCCTGTTTAACACACACACTTCTCTAATTTCTTTGAAATATATGACAGTTCCTAAGTCTGTATTGTGCCATTTCAGAGTTGGAATGAGGTACTGAGGTTTGATTTTTTTAACAACGATTCTTATAAAAAATATCCCCAGCTTGTTAATAATTGCTGTCTTGCTTACTTGCTGTAGGCCAGCTGCTGCTTCTTAGGCTGACCACATAATGTAAAGCACTGCAAACTGCTTTTGAAGGAGATCTGAAACTTTGCTTTAATCTGTGTGGTGCTTTTAAAACAATACAATACCATCAGTCAGTCTGGCTTTTTTTCTGGAGTGATTTATCACCTGCAGTTCTATAGATCAGCTCAGATATCCTGAAGCACCAGGTGAGAATAAAGGTTGCTCTAATGTCCGAGGAGATGCATCTCTAATCTCTGCAACTTTCTTTTAAGCAGGGAAACCTTTCCTGGGTTTAGACAGTTGTCTCTCAGGATAGAGTTAAGCAGAGGGAATTTAGGATTAGGTCCCTATGGCAGCTGGAGAAGARCAGAGCACAGGGCTTGATGTTCAAGAGAAAGCTTCCTCTGGGCAATGTTTTTTAGATGTGAGCCATATGCAAGATCAACACAGCATTTATTTCACCTATTTCAAGTATTTCAAAGCAATTTTTGGATAATTTTCTCTCTGTCACTGAGGAGGAAGCTGAAATGCCTAGCTTTAGAGGGGCAAAATCAGGTGGCATGAACTTCACCCATGCTACATATAGAAGCTATTTCATCTAATGGAATCTTTTCCTCTGCTGCTGATGTTTCCCCTTCCTGAATGATCTGTGCTATCAGAGGTTGTCGAGAACATCTCTGCTTATTGACCAGGATGCCGGATGCATGCCTTGGGCACAAAATGGAGAGCCTCATCTCCAGGGAGAAGCTGCTCTTCTTTATCCTTAGCAGGAAGTTGTAGGCTTGGGCTGACATCTCTGAAAAAGGTTAAGGACTTAGGCTTGACAAGTCAAAAACTGAGCATGTGAACCTCAACCTTATGATTATGGGATCTGTTTTACCCTAATAAAGAAAAATAAAGATTCACTTGCTATCGTTGACTCAAAGCCTATGTCTATTGTGCATACACATTATAGAGCAGTGACCTGTGATCTGTGAAAATTAATGCACAAGAGTTTCACCATGAGGAAGAAGTCTAGAAATGAGAACTATCTTCCTATTTCTTTGAAATTACCTTGCCCTGCCCCAAACATGGATAAGTACAAGTCTGGAGATGGAGTTTGACTCARAATATCTTTCCACCCCATCATTTATTATTCTTCCTTTTTACACAATAACTTGCAGTGAGTGATCATAAAGTTCTGTAAGTTCTTCCTTCAGAAGGCTTTGAGTCAAATCCTGACTTTATTAATATTCATGAGGTAAAACTGTCTTAGTGAAAAGAGCCTCTTTCACATGCATAGGTAAATGTGAGCACAAATATCAAGAGAACTTGCAAATTCATCAATRCTAGTTTTCAGGAGGATCCCATGTTTTATTTTATGGTTATTCTG